CTGCGGCCACCATCGCCGTCGTCTCTACGGCCACCAGTGCGGCCATCATTGCGGCCATCACCGCTGCCACCACTCCGGCCACCTCCGCAGCCATCTCTGCGGTCACCAGTGCGGCCATCACCGCGGCCATCACCGCAGCCCTCTCTACAGCCACCTCTCCGACCATCTCTCCGGCCACCACCGCAGCCCTCACTGTGGTCACCTCCGCGGCCACCCCTCCGTCCACCTCCCCCGCCCATCCCCGTCCTCCTCCTCCTCCTCCTCACCTCGCTGAGCTCCGGCCGCATCCCCTCCGCGGTCACCGCCGCCTCCTCCTCCTCCTCGGTGTCCGGAGCTCCGTGTCCGGCCGCCTGCACCTGCAGCAACCAGGCCAGCCGCGTGATCTGCACTCGCCGCGAGCTGCTGGAGGTGCCGGCCAGCATCTCGGTCAACACGCGCTACCTGAACCTGCAGGAGAACCACATCCAGGTGATCCGCACCGACACCTTCAAGCACCTGCGCCACCTGGAGATCCTCCAGCTCAGCCGGAATTTGGTCAGGAAAGTGGAGGTGGGAGCGTTCAACGGGCTGCCCAACCTCAACACGCTGGAGCTGTTCGATAACCGCCTCACCACCGTGCCCACGCAGGCCTTCGAGTACCTGAGCAAACTGCGCGAGCTGTGGCTGAGGAACAACCCCATCGAGAGCATCCCCAGCTACGCCTTCAACCGCGTGCCCTCGCTGCGCCGCCTGGACCTGGGCGAGCTCAAGCGCCTCGAGTACATCTCGGAGGCGGCGTTCGAGGGCTTGGTGAACCTGCGCTACCTCAACCTGGGCATGTGCAACCTGAAGGAAATCCCGAATTTAACGGCGCTGGTGCGGCTGGAGGAGCTGGAGCTGTCCGGCAATCGGCTSGGCCGCGTCCGGCCGGGCTCGTTCCAAGGGTTGGGCAGCCTGAGGAAGCTGTGGCTGATGCACGCGCGGGTGGCGGCGGTGGAGAGGAACGCGTTCGACGATCTGAAAGCGCTGGAGGAGCTGAACCTGGCGCACAACGAGCTGGCCTCGCTGCCCCACGACCTCTTCGCGCCGCTGCACCGGCTGGAGCGCGTGCACCTGCACCACAACCCCTGGCGCTGCGACTGCGACGTGCTGTGGCTGAGCTGGTGGCTGCGCGAGACGGTGCCCAGCAACACCAGCTGCTGCGCCCGCTGCCACGCKCCGCCGGCGCTGCGCGGCCGCTACCTGGGCGAGCTGGAGCCCGGCCACTTCACCTGCTACGCGCCGGTCATCGTGGAGCCGCCGGCCGACCTCAACGTCACCGAGGGCATGGCGGCCGAGCTCAAGTGCCGCACGGGCACGGCCATGACGTCGGTCAACTGGCTGACGCCCAACGGGACGCTGATGACGCACGGCTCGTACCGCGTGCGCATCTCGGTGCTGCACGACGGCACGCTCAACTTCACCAACGTCACCGTGCAGGACACCGGCCAGTACACCTGCATGGTGACCAACGCGGCCGGCAACACCACGGCCACCGCCACGCTCAACGTCTCGGCGGCCGACGCGGCGGCGGCGGCGGCGGCGGCGGCGGCGGCCACGGGCTACACCTATTTCACCACGGTCACCGTGGAGACCACCGAAGGGGCCGGAGGAGATGACCAAGCGCCCCAAACGGCCGCCGCGCCCACGGCCGGATGGGAACCGGGCGCGGCCGGTGCCTCCACGGCCGCTCCGGCCACTCGCGCCACCGGCAAACCCTTCACCGTGCCCATCACGGCGGCGGCGGCCGGAGCGGCGGCCGGAGGGGCGGCATCCGGAATCGGGGGCGGGGGTCTCCAGGATTTGGACGACGTCCTCAAGACCACCAAGATCATCATCGGCTGCTTCGTGGCCATCACCTTCATGGCCGCCGTCATGCTGGTGGCGTTCTACAAGCTGCGCAAGCAGCACCAGCGCCACAAGCACCGCGGCGGCGCCGCCCGCGCCGTGGAGATCGTCAACGTGGAGGACGAGCTCGGGGGTCCCGGCGCCGGGGG